ACATTTCTTATAAGTCTCAAACAAAATCTGATTAACTTAATCAAATCTTCTCTTAACATAAACAAATGAAAAATTATAATTTTACCCTAGAAAAGCAGATTCAGGTGATTTTGGAGCTGGAAAGCCCCTTGGAAATCATCTGGATGGAAGCCCTCATTTTATAGATGAAGAAACTGAGAACTAAGAGTCAAGTGACTTGCTTATGGTCGAAGCCCATAGTTAACGGCAGAGTCTGGGTTAGAAGCCACAATTCTGATGTCCAGTCTAAACTTGCTTCACTATGCCACAGTAGCTCCTAGGCTGAGACTGGCCATTTTCTTGGCTGGGCTTGTGTGTGGGTGGGTGTGTGTCCTTAGCAGAAATAGAAACAAGAAAATTGCATAAGTGATCAAATTTTAGTGTGCTTGTATAACTATTTTCCCAAAATATGCCAGTACCTGGCAAAGGTAACTGTAGATTTTATTAATAGCATTTCAGGAATATGTTCAGGGGCAATTTTATAATTTGTGCCAAAAATAAAACTCCTTTTCAAAGCAAGAGTGTCCTTCTGACAAAAGTATCTGCACTTCTTCTAGAGGTACACAGCATACTTGGTGCTTTACAGTTTTAATTTTATAATAAATTACCATTATTAAAAAAAATCAACTCAAACTAGCCTCCCATCATTACAACAGAATTGTCCATACACTTGGATTCCATCTCCTCACCTAACACACAATTCAGCTCACTCATCTGATTGTTGCCTCCACTGCTCCATTGAAACACTTACTAATGTCAACAATGAATCTGTTGACCCTCTCAGCAACAATGTCACATCTCTCCACCCTTTCTTCTAGAATCAGTGTCCTAGCTTTCTTTGATGGTTCCTTCTGTTTTCTTTGGAGAATTCTCTTCCTCTACCTAACCATCAGGAGCTCTGGTGGCATCATGGTTAAAGCATTTGGCTGCTAACCAAAAGGTCAGTGGTTTGAACCCATCACCCACTGAACCCACCATGGGAGAAAGATGAGGCAATCTGCTACTGTAAGTATCTACAGCATTAGAAACCCTATGGGGGCAGTTCTACTCTGTCATGTAGGGTCACTATGAGTCAAAACCAACTCAATGGCAGAGTTTATTTAATCATCAAAGGAGCCCTTGTGGCCCAGTGGTTAAATGCTAGGCTGCTGTGGTAGTTAAGGTTGTGTCAACTTGGCTGGGCCATGGTTTTGAGTGGCTGGGCAGCTGGATATATATTCTCCATGATGAGATTGTAATCAGCTCCATGGAGAAAACTGCTGTGAGCGCCTTTGGGTGGTGGCCTGCTTGCAGTATATATGGGCAAACTTTGAGGACGGTCTCTAGCTTTTGGCACATCTGAATGTTGCATTTGACCAAGTCATCACTTCAGTGGCTGCTACGTTGCCTGCCGATCTTGGGATCATTCCTGGACTTGAACTAGTGGCCTGCTCATCTTGGGACTGGGCTGTTTTACCTGTCGATTTTGGGTTTGTCAGCCTCAAAAGCCAGCAGCTGCGTGAGTTAGAAAATGTCTCCAGCTCTAGTGGACCTAGAACAGGATGCAAGGCGGACGCCCAAGGTCAAGGGGCCTTCACCCAGCCCCTAGAGCCGGCACTTTGAACTCGAACTTCTAGCCTCCTAAGAGAATAAATCCGTTTGTTAAAGCCATCCCTTGTTATTTCTGTTATAGCAGTACTAGAGAACCAAAATAGCTGTTAACTGAAAAACCAGTGGTTTGAACCTACCAGCTGCTCCACAGGAGAAAGATGAGGCGGTCTGCTTCCATAAAGATTTGCAGCCTTGGAAACCCTATGGGGCAGTTCAACCTGTCCTGTAGGGTCACTATGAGTCAGAATTGACTCTACGGCACTGGGTTTGGTTTTGGGTTTATTTAGCCATCATATGCTGGAGTCCTTTAAGATAAGAAGGTGTAATTCCTTTTAAGTTTGGGAATAGAAATGCAAAGTAGAATATATCTAATAAATCTTGTCTCCATTCTTTTAAATAGACTTTCATCTCTTGCCATTCTGTATATCCATTTACTCACCCAACAACCATTTACTGATGCGATGGCTGAGGAATGCTTGATTAATGTTGTCGATTTTTTTAAATGGCACTAGTTTTAAGATGAGGTTAAAACGAAGCAGGAGAAAGCTTGCTTCATTTCAGAGAAAGATTTCTCCTCTATGTTATGTTAAAAGGGAGGTGGGGATTTTGTTTCATTAGATTCTGCATATTTGGGAGCTGGTCAGACCAGTGTTACCACTGCACACATAGATGCTGTCCTTATTCCATTGGTTCTAATATGAAATACAAAAGTAGAAACATCAGGTTTTCTTTATTTGTAACAGGCATAAACTAAAGTTCAGTCATTTAACATAGGATAAAAAATAGTTCAGTTAACATTGTAACTAAAGGACAGCATGTTTTCTTCAAAAGCATTTCATTTCTGGTTTGTCTCTTGCTGGTCCCGACAATCTGGTGGTTTTTTTTTTTTTTTTCTTCCAGGCATTTTCTTCTCAATTGGATGATCATCTTCAGGGCAAAAATTGTTCATCAGACTCTAGCTCTAGCAGCACATATTTTATTCATTTATATACACGTACCCCCACCCTGTCTTATTCCAACCTTCTTACTACATTCCTATTGACATCAGTCATTTATTCTAACCTCTCAAACGGCCCTGAGTTTTATTTACAGTTAAGAATTTGCACATGGCACAAATCCACTCAGCTGTTCACAGTGCACAGATGTCACATAATCACTGTGCTGAAATACCTTATTTGTTTTTTGGGAAAAAATTATATGTTAATTTAAACATACACATAGAACATTTCTTAGACAAATGGCCAAGGCTCATCTGGTAAAGACAAATTTCTCTGTACTTTTTATAGCACAATAAAATATATCTTTTGTAAACTGAGAAGTACCAAAGAACGTTTAAAACAAAAACAGAAAACCACACACAACAGATTGACTGGTAACTTGAAATTCTGTCAAAACATCTTCAGTGAGGCTTTTTATTGCAAATAAGTCAGAAAAAAAATTCAAAGAGTCTATTTTACACACATGACTCTTTAAAGAGTTTTTCCTCAAAGTTTATTACAAGGGGGGTTATCTGACTCAGTCAATTTATCATGAGAGATTATCAACTATTTTTAAAGCTCAAAGGTCAAGAAGCCAGAAAACAGGAATACTTCTTGCAATTAATTATGTGGTACTTTATTTCCTCATGTACTCTTTCCATATCCGAAGTCTTTTTAAATTATCCCCTTTAAAAACTCTGGGAATATTGATGATTTCTCTTTCAGATCTCTCCTCATATTTCCACCAAACTCCTTTGGTGTCTGGATAACCTGCTCTGAATCACTGGTAGGCATTTTCCTCAGCCACCTTAGAAAGGCTGAGCATACTTTACTTCACATTCCAAGGAAAGCTCCATGGATGTGCAAAGGTGGGGCGCCAAGGAGTGGTGCAGGGAGAAGGTAGTAAATTATTCATATGAACTAAAGGATAATTTAGTTTAATAAAAATGCTTGCCTTGAACATTTTGCTCTTTTTTGAATGGGCATCTTTGGTTGTGTATATTTTCACAAGAAAAAAATTAATTACCAATATGAACTACTTAGAGACGCTGAGAAGCAGTTATTATGATTACAAAAAAAAAAAAAAAAAAAAACCTGTTCAATTCCATCTATTCTTTTCCTTTAGCCACTTACACATGAGGCAATTCTGTTTCTGAACTCTGCACAGAGATCTAAAGTTCACTGAAAGCTCAACAAGAGAACACCTACCGTGGGACAAAGCACTCGATTTGGCATTTTTTTCTCTGGTTCCTGAAAATAGGTCTTGGAATTTGCCATCAAGGGGCTTTTATTTTATAAAGTAGCCAGGTGAGCCTTAAATAGGTAAATGATTATGGCCACACAGGCACCACTCCGGCAGCAAACCTCAGAGTGAGAGGAGACCAGATGGAATCAATCAAAATATTGTAGGTACATAAGTATTGAGGCGGCGCTCATGCAGATGCGCTGAGCCCCAATGATCATGGCAATCTGAAGGGCCTCCTGTGGGCTTCTTGGAGTGGTGAGAACATCCCTGGGCACAATGGAAGTCTCAGACAGCGACTTCTCCCAGACCTTGCCTGATGCGTCTCTTCGCTTTGTATCCTTCTGGTTATAGTAATAAATGGGTACCTGCAAGTCGAGGTAGTCTCTGTGAGTTTTGTGAGTCATTCTAGTGAATTATTCAACCCACTGGGGGCAGTGAGAGCCAGTAGAGGCTAGAAGGACAGAGTCCTAATTTGTCGAGACCCATCTCCAGGTGGTCAGAGACAGGAAGTGCCACGTGGGTGGCCGGTGTCAGGATAATAAAGTGGGAAAGTGGGGGTATGTGTTATTTTCACATTTTGGAAAACAGCCTTATGTCAGCTACTGCAGAAAAGTGTAGTTGTTTGTTTGCTGGCTGTTTTTGACAATATATCATCTCTGACATCAATTTCCTACTAGAAAAATAGCACTTTTAGAATTAGATTATATCTTATAAGCCACCTGCTCCACCACACTTTGCTGTCTATAAAAATCAGGACGTTGAGCTAAACCAATTAAGGCAGATGTGCAAGATTTAAATTCTCACTGGAACACTCTGGCAAAAATTAGAAACCATTTTCTAGCAGGTAGAGTCCTAGGTGTCTTTCTTTAAAAGAATCTGAACATTTGAACACAACACATTTGCAGTATGGTAATACGAATTGCTTGGCCATTATTATAGAATCTTAATTTTCATGTACTTCACTTGGTATAAACAAATCATCCTATATACTTACTTCATTTTTCATACAATCATCTTTGATAGGAAGAATGACCTATTTTTTGTTTTAGAGGAAAGATAAGGTCCTCTTAAAAAAAAGTCACATTTATGAATAAAATTCCCTTTGCATTACTTCTTATAAATCATGCTTCAATGAATTTTGCACTATATATACTTCTGGCTTCTTTGAAAGTAATCTGTACATTTGACAATTTTTATCTTCTTGAGGCATTTTTCTTTCCTCCACAAAAATGCAATTAAGGACGCTGTACCAACTTACTCTTACTTCCTTCCTGTTCACCGAGTTTAAAATAGGTATAGGCAAGAATGCCAAATAATGTACATAAAATGCCAAGACCCTGGTTGACTGACAGCGGGTCCTTAAATAAAACATATCCACCAAATAAAGTAATGCAGAACTTGAAGTGTCCAAACATGTTATATCTGAGGTTTTTTGGATAAGGACGGAAAAGAATCACAAGCTAGATGTTATATTCCACCTCCCACACCAGCACCGCCCATCTAGTGTCCCTCCTCCTGCCACGCACATGCAGCAAAGGCTTCCTCTGGAGGGAAAGTGCACGAAACTCTGAACAGCAGCTGCACCATCTGAAAAACAAGAACTTGAATGACATGTGCGGCCAAGTCTAGCTTCTCCAGGTAACCCACAACCATAAAGTCAATTCTGACTCAGTGGCCCTGTAAAACATAGTAGGAGTGTCCCACAGGGTTTCTTCAGGTAGGTTTTACTAATTAACCAGTGTCAGAAGACTGCCCCTACTGTCCCTGTTGGCCATCCCAAAGATGGGAAAGTGGGTTACAATAAAAGAGTGGGAAATAAATCCAGAACAAGGAGCAGAAGATACATTTGCACAGCAAGTTATGATTATGTTTTAGTGGCATTTCTAATAAACTTTTTTTTTGGCAAATGAGGTGAGATGTGTAAGGTATTAAAGCATTAACTCAATATAAATACAACTAGTGTAGGAAGGACAGAGAGCAGTACTAAGTACCAAGTACACAGAGGGCCAAGTGCTTTACAAAGTATCATCTTATTTAGACATCACTTTTACCTTCACTGCAGTACCCTTCTTCTCATTTTATAATTGTCAAGGCTCAGGGATTTTAAGTAACTTACCCAAGATCACACATTATTAAGTGGCAGAGGTGAGGCCCAAACTCAAATGGGTCCATCTAACTTCCAAGACCATACTCTATTCTAGTATACCACTAGTAACTCTGGATTAAGGTTTTTCTAAAGCATTATTCATTTAAAAAACTATACATATACACAGTTCCTTTAAAAATTACTCTTTAAGTATAATTATTCTTATCTATAAAAATTAGTACTTAACTGTTTTTCAGGAGCTCTGGTAGTATAGTGCCTAAGGCACTTGACTGCTAACCAGAAGGCTGACAGTTCAAACCCACCAGCCACTCCTTGGAAGGAAGGTTAGGCAATCCTACTTCTGTAGTGATACTGCCTTGGAAACCCAAGGAGGGGTCGCTATGAGTCGGGGCCGACTCAACGGCAAATAACAAAAACTGCTCTTCAGATGTTTGATGTGCACACCATCCTCTCTTTCCAACAGCAACACCAGAAATACTTACTACTCTGTGTCTCAGTTTCCTCACCTGTCAAGTGGGGATAATATAGTACCTCTAACCCACAGAGTTAGTGGGTAGATTAAATGAGTTAACATATACAAAACCAAACCGAAAACCAAACTCACTGCCTTCGAGTTGATTTTGACTCATAGCAACCTCCTGTGGGCTTCCAAGGTGGTATCTCTAGGGAAGTAGATTGCCCAGTCTTCCTTCCATAGAGGGGCTGGTGGGTTTGAACCGCCAACCTTCTGGTTAGCAGTCAAATGCCTTAGGCCCTATGCCACCAGAGCTCCTTAATATATGCAAAGTACCCATCATATAGTAAAATACCATGTTTAGCTATAATAAAAGTAAACAATAGCATTATTTATGCATAATAAACATCTACTAAGTGCTTCAAAAGTGAGCCTTAGTGGCACAATGGTTAAGTACTTGGTTGCTAACCAAAAGGTCTGGACTTTAAACCCACCAGCCGCTCCACAGGAGAAAGATGTGGCAGTCTGCTCCACAAAGATTGTAGCCTTAGAAACCCACCTCTATTCTGTCCTTTAGGGTCGCTATGGAATCAACTCAATGGCAACAAGTCTGGTTTGCTCAGTTTTTTGAGACACTTGAGAGTATCTCTCAAACCCTCACAAAATCCCAATGTGGTAGATATTATTCCCCCCATTTTATAAGTGGCATGAATGAAACCCTGAGAGCTCCCATGACTTGCTCAGGCCCACAAGTAGTATCAGAGTTGGGAATTCACACCCAGATCTGTCTGACCATAAAGTCCACCTCTTTCCTCTGTTCTGAGCTGGCCAAGTCAGCAGCCTGTGAGCTCCTGCTGGTGGCAGCAGCTGCACCTCAGGAAAGCACAGGCCATGTCACTGGGGAAACTTGTGCTTATCTAACCCAGCAGAAGTGATTTCCTGAGAGACAGAGGGGATCTTCCCAAGGATGCTAATTATAATTGTCATGAACTATGCTTTATTTTAAGTTTTGATTTATCTTTACCTACACTGAATCCTACCACTTTCAATTTCTTTACTCTTCACCCTTAAGTAGTTAATGATCCATTAAAGATATTTATACTACATGGAAGGCAAGTTTAAAGAAACTCTTCACTGGCCTCTTCTGTAAATCAAAGAATAAAAAAAGAGTAGTCTATGCTTGGTAATTTCAATTCCTCCCCTCCATGTCTCCACTCCATTCTAGTCAGGCTTTGGCCCCTAACCCAACTGCTCTTGTCAAAACGTCAGTGACTTCCATCTCACTGAATCTCATCAATGATTATCAGTCTTCCTCATACCTGAGCTATCAGTGGATTTGACACAGCTGATTACACCTTCCCCTTTGAAACACTTTGCTTGCTTTGTTTCTACACCATTCTTCCTTCTATCTCTGACTGCTCCTTTCAGTCTTTGCCTAGTTCCCTCATCCCTCTAAACTCTAACCAATGAAGTATCTTAGGACTCAATCTTAGGATATACATATATTTTTTCTACTTAGTTGCTTGGTAATCTAAGTGTCACTGCTTTAAAACACTATTCACTCTGGAATATTTCCAGCCCCTGAACTCCCACACTTGTTTATCCAAGTGACTCCTCATACCCTTACCTAAATGTGGAACACGCCACTCATACAAAACTGAGCCCCTGCTCCTAACCTCCTTCAGGCTGCCCTGCCTCAGCTGATGGCAATTCCATTCTACCAGGTGCTCAGGCCAAAACCCTTGTGAGTCACCTTTCTCTCGTCTTTTATTCTCCACATCCAATTTGTCAGCAAATCCTGTAACTCTACTTGAAAATATATCTAGAATCCAATCACTTCTCACTATACCCACTGCTACCATCTTGGTAACTACCATTTTTTCTCAATAAGAATACTGCAGTAGCCTCCCAACGGTCTCTCTTCTTCCCTGGCCTCTTTTAGTGCAATGGTTCTCAACCAGAGGTGATTTTATCACCTGGGCAATGTCTGGAGACATTTTTGTTACCACAAAGGGAGAAAGAGGGCGCTACTGGCATCTAGTGGATAGAATCCAGGGATGCTGCTAAACATCCTACAATGCACAGAACAGGCCTCCGCAACAAAGAATTATCCAGCCTCAGAGTCAATAGTGCTGAGGTAGAAAACTCTGCTTAGACAAAGTGATCCTATTAAAACATAAGCATAAACTGTTGAATGGAAAACAAATTTCCTCTGTAAACTTTCACCCAAATTACAATTTGGAAAAAAAAAAAAAAAAAAGTAAAATCATGTCACTTTTCTGCTGAAAACTCCAATGGCTTCCCATGTCACTCAGCATAACAGACCTCATATAAAAGCTCTACTCAATCTGGTTGTCTGTTACCTCTCAGAGACACCCCCACCCCCACCTTTGTCACTCTGCACAGGCTTCCTTATTTCACAGGATCTCTCAACTGGCACGTAAGCTACCTCACTTCCTTCAGATGTTTACTCAGAAGTCACCTTCTTAGTGAGACCTTCCTGGCTACCTGATCTAAAACTTCAATGCTGCTCCCCAACAGTTCAGAGGCCCTCCCTGTTTTATTTTTCCTCCTTGGCACTTATCACTATCTAATGATTTAAATATGTGTGTGTGTGTGTGTGTGTGTAAATATATATTATGACCCCCTCCATTTATTTCTGTACCAGAATTTAAACCTGATGCAACAATTTTTATAGATTTGATTCTCTACTCTATCTGCAGCACCTGACATATAACAGATGTCCAGTAAATAAATATTTATTAAATCAATGAATGGTTTACAGTGGGCATTTAATATTTTTTGAATGAATGAATGAACACGTTCTTAATCAGGGCACATCCTTGGAGGCCTTGATTTGGCACAAGTTCTGGCACTAGACTGACTGGGCACATATCTGGATGCTGCACTTCTCAATGATGTGACCTTAGGAGACTTGTTTAATCTCTCTGTGCCTCCATGCCCTCCTCTTTAAATAACAGAATTCACCTCACAGAGCTGCTGTGAGAAATAAAGGATCTAATATATGCAAAGTGCTGTAAGCAGCATCTGGCACAAAATAAACAGGTATTAAGCATTAATTAAAAAAAAAAAAACTGTTATTACCACTGTTGTTGCTATCTGGCATCTAATACTGCTTATTTGTTGACATCTCAGTATTCACTCACTTTGGTAGTTAAGGTTGTATGTCAACTTGGCTGGGCCCGGTTGAGTGGCTGGGCAGCTGGATATAGTTATTCCCCATGGTGAGATTGGTAATTAACTCCATAGTGAAATCTACTGAAGCAGCTGAGTAGCTGCTTTAGGGATGTGGGTTGCTTCCAACATATTAGAAGCAACTTTGAGGAAGGTCTCCAGCTGATGGCACATTTGTAATCTGCATGTAGCCGAGTCACTGTTCAGCAGCCTGCCATGTTGCCCTCCCAATCCTGGGACTTTTAATGGGCTTGAATTAATGGCCTGCATATATGGTTTGGTAATATTGGGACTGTGCCTTTTCACATGTCGACCTTGGGTCTGTCAACCTTAGCAGCTAGCAGCTGCCTGAGTGAAGAGATGCCTCTAGCTTTAGTGGGCTGGGAACAAGAGGCAGAGCTAAAGCTCAAGGTCGAAGGGCCTTCACCTAGCTCCTAGAGCCTGGCACTTTGAACTTGGATTTCTAGGCTCCAAAATTGTAAGAGAATAAACTCCTGTTAGTTAAAGCCATCCCCTTTGTGGTATTTCTGTTAGAGCAGCACTGTTGTTGTTATGTGCCGTCAAGTCAAACCCGACTCATAGCGACCCCTCCTTGGGTTTCCGAGGCAGTATCACTATGGAAGTAGGATTGCCCAACCTTCCTTCCGAGGAGTGGCTGGTGGGTTTGAACTGCCAGCCATCTGGTTAGCAGGCAAGTGTCTTAGCCACTATGCTACCAGAGCTCCCTTAGGTAACCAAAATACTTCGAAAAACCAGTACACTCTGATATGAGGTTACTAAACTCTCTCTCTCATTTGGGGAACTCCATTCTTTGCATTTGCCTACTAGTTGGAGCAGAGCGAAATACTAAGTGAAACAGAATGACTAGCCAGATGGTGGAAATGGGCAGCTGAGTTGGACTTAAACCTCCAATTATGACTTATTTTCTTAAAGTAACATTCAGAAAAACAGGCACACCCATCTCCAAATAAGTACAAAAATATACTCCAAAGTCAGTGATTGGAGAATATCCTTTGTAATCTGGATTAAAGATGCTTCTACTTTATTAATGTAGATAACTGAAAATCCAAGCCTCGGTCTCACCATTCATTCATCAAACACTTATTTGATCCTACTATGTGCCAGGATTGGTGCTCCATGTCAATTTTCATAAGAAAAAAATGATTATTTAAGCAAATTAAAAAAACATTCATAATACAGAAAGTTAATCCATTTCCCTAGTTGATATTTCTGCAAATTTCCATAATTTTTTACTTGAAAAGACATAACAAAAGACTGCAAATAACACACTCTGGTCAATTAGGCCATGCAGTAGTTAGTTTGAGACTAGGATACAGTGATTGTGACTGTTTTGGAAAATATAGAAGACTCTGCATTTGTGATTACAGAAAGGATACGTGACTGGTGAAGTGTTCCCTATGATCCAGTAAATTGATAAGTTCACCATGAAAGCTATCACTCCAGACAGCAGCACCATAACCTAGAAATAAACCGATAGAATCATTAATGGAAAGTGTCTTTAACACTGTAAGCTTCAAATAAAAATACATTTCATTAGGCATTTTTAAAAACTCAAACATCAATCATTAAGAACAAGAAAAAAAGGAAAGAGAATCAATTTGGGAGACACTAAGAAGTGAGCAGAAAAGAGCAGAATGAATAATATTCAGGAATGTAATTTCTTTTTATAAGCATCAATGGAAAATTCTGTAATAATATCCTGCCTCTGAATGTGAATTTCATTTTATTTTTCTTATTCAGCTGAGGGAAAGTATATAATATTTAAAATATTATTTACAACATATATTACCCACCAGCCACTCCTCAGAAGAAAGTTTGGGCAATCTACTTCTGTAGTGATACCGCCTTGGAAACCCAAGGAGGGGTCGCTATGAATCAGGTCTGACTCGATGGCAAATAACAACAACAATATATATATTACCAAGTAATATTTTATAATAACTTACTATAAAAGCAATACAATGCATTATAGAAAAATCAGAAAATAAAGGCAAGAAAAGAATTCTTATAATATTAATCACCCAACACTGTTAACTAACACCTTGGTATATATCCTTCCAGATTTTTTTCTAACGTATTGTTAATTTTAAATTTAATGAAATCAATGAACATTCATTGACTATCTGAAAACTAGGTCAGGCCTTGTGAAAAACAAAATATGTACAAGGTACTTGCTCTGAAAGAGCTTGGAAACCATTTGAGGACATGATAAAAATCACGAAACTCACACCTTGCGCTTACCGTGCACCGAGAATTGTTCTAAATGCTTTAAAAAACCAAACCAAACTCACTGCTGTCAAGTCGGACCCGACTCACAGTGACCCCACCTTGGGTTTCCGAGGTGGTATCACTACAGAAGTAGATTGCCCAACCTTCCTTCTGAGGAATGGCTGGTGGGTTTGAACTGCCAGCCTTCTGGTTAGCAGTCAAATGCCTTAGGCACTACACCACCATATATTAATTAATTAATTCTCACAAACACCCATGAGATAGTTAAATGTTACTATTCCCTTGTTATACACGAGAAAACAGAACACAAAGAGGTAAGGTAATTTACCTACAATCACATAAGTAGTAAGTGGCAGGGCTGAGATTTAAACCCAGGCAGTCCACAGTCTGGTTCTGAAGTCCCTGCTTTTAACCCACCCTGCTATACTCCCTCCTCTCAAACCCAGAGCACAATGCAAAATTCACAGTTCAAGCAGTAAAAGAAAATGAGCATTGAGTGCTGTATCATTACAGCCAACACATGGAACAGATAACAGGTTTGATAGAAATCTCAAGGGAGAAGATATAACTTTGGGCCGGAAGAGAGAGAAAGATCTCTGGATCTCAAAAGACTGGACAGATTTTTAAAAAAGAGGGAAAACCATGGGCAATAGCATGGAGGCATCTAAGCACCAAGTATGTTCATGGAACAGTGAATAAACCAATCTGGCTGAGGACAGCAGGCAAAGTGGGCTGCACGACTGTATACACACACAGTGTTATGCTCAAATCTATTCCACAACTTTAAAAGTTATAAAACTATTTCCTATTTCTGAAGAGAATTTAGATAAAATATTGATTGTGATCTGAATTATTGAGAAGTTTAAGCTCCATAGATGGGGCTATAAAACAAATAATAACATCTGTGAAGAATGTACTCCTTAGAATAATCAACTATGCAAGACCAAAAGGGCAACGTCTGCCCAAAACCAAATATGAGAAGGCAGAGAGGGACAGGGAAACAGGACAAATGGAAAGAGGAACCCAAGGAGGAAACAAAGAATAGTGACACATTGGTAGATTATAACCAATGTCATAGAACAATTTGTGATGAACTACTGAGTAGAAAACTAATTTGCCATGTAAACTTCACCTAAATCACAATAAAATGTTAAAATAAATGAAAAAAAAGAGAAATATTTGATTAAAAAAAAAAAAGACACTTAAGCTCCACAGAAAAAATGTCTTATCTGAAGATTCTTTCTGTCCCATGTGAGTTCTACCAGTTTGCAAATCAGTGCAGTCATAAGGAGACCTAAGGAGTTAGATTAATGTTCATTAGGAGGCAAATACTCAATATTCAATATATTAATTAAATGAAGTCCTTTAAGTATTCAACTAAGAGATACTTTCTCTTTAAAGATCTTAAACAGTTTCTAGAATTATATCTAAAATACATCATTCTTAATTTTATTAAGTCCATAGAATATTACATAACTGTGTCTTAATGACTTGACACATCACTGAAAACACAATTATTCTGCTTTGAGGCAGCCATGCCTTCTAGGGACATTAGGAATGAACGAGGCCTTCCCTCACACTAAATGGCCTCAGACTGCTGTACTCTTAGTTTCTTTTTTTTAATTATAAAATATTTCAAATAGACTAGTACAGTGAACACCCATGTGCCCATAACCTAGGCTCAAAAACAATTAATGGCTAATCTTTCTTTTTTAAATCCCTTTACCCATAGCAAACCTCTTAATTATCCATCTGGTTTTTAAAAAGCAGCCTTTCTATACTTTCCATTCTTTCAAATCTGTCAGAGGGTTTACAATGAAAAGCCTCTCTCCTAGTTTAAAGTGTAGAAGAAAGAACTAGTGATCTGCTCCCATAAAGATTATAGTTAAGTCAATTGGTGATACTACATTTTATTCCTTGAGTCAATTTAAAATGGCTAAGAAAGCAAACTTAAATATTTCCCCACCTGTAAGAGGTTATTTAAATTTCAAATATTACATTAAACAACAGTAATGCTAAATGGGAGTAGTAAGACTTAAAAGTCTTTAATAAAGTTGTATAAAGTAACTCTTTCAGATACTGAATGAATAACTTGAATCTCTTTGGGTCAAAGATGTCCTCTCTGATTTATACTTGTGAAGCAAACTTAGTGGTTGTATGGTATAGATGATCTTATCATTATTACATTTAAAGAATATTTTAGAAAGTTTTAAAACACAACCCATTAAAAAAAAAAGATGATAGCTAAAAAAACCCCATGGAGCTGTTCTGCTCTGTCGCAATGAGTCACGATCAACTCGACAACTCTCAACAGCAAGACAAGCTACAGTGGTTTGAAGAGTAGATAACCAAGATGGTTAGGATTCTGTGAAATAAGAGGCAATATTTCTACTCTGGAAACAAGGGCGTGTGCCAGAGTATATAAAGGAGCCCTGGTGACACAGTGGTTAAGTGCTCAGCTGCTAACCAAAAGGTGGGTGGTTTGAACCCTCCAACCGGTCTGTGGGAGAAAGATGTGGCAGTCTGCTTCCATAAAGACTAACAGCCTTGAAACGCAACAGGGCAGTTCTGTTCTGTACTACAGGGAGTTGGAAACAACTGCCAGTCTGCTCACAGGCAGTATAGAAGAACAGTTAAAAATACAGACTTTGGAACTAGAATGGGATTCAAATGCTGGCTCTTCATCAGCTATGTGATCTTGGGTCAATATCTTCATCAATTAAAAATAATAAATAAAATCTACCTAATAGGGTAGAAGAATGTGGCATCAGGATTCGGGGAAGATTCATTAACAATCTGAGATATGCAGACGACACAACTTTGCTTGCTGAAATAAGGATGACTTGGAGTACTTACTGATGAAGATTAAAGACTACAGTCTAAAGTGTGGATTACACCTCAATATAAAGAAAACAAAAATCCTCACAACTGGACCAATAAGCAGCATCAGGATGAATGGAGAAAAGACTGACGTTGTCAAAGACTTCACATTACTTGGCTCTACAATCAATGCCAATGGAAGCAGCAGTCAAGACATCAAAAGACGTATTGCATTGGGCAAATCTGTTGCAAAAGACCTCTTTCAAGTGCTGAAGAGCAAAGATGTCTCCTTGAAAACTAAGATGCACTTAACCCAAGCCATGGTATTTTCAGTTGTCTCCCATGCACATGAGAGCTAGAAAATGAATAAGGAAGACTGAAGAAGAGTTGATGCTTTTATGTTGTGGTGTTGGTGAAGAATACTGAAAGTACCATGGATCGCTAAAAGAACTAACAAATTGGTCTTGGAAGAAGTGTAGCTGGAATGCTCCTTGGAAGCAAGAATGACCAGACTTCATCTCACCCACTTTGGTCATGTTATCAGAAGGGACCATTCTCTGGAGAAGGTAAAGTGGAGGGTCAACGAAAGAGGGGAAGGCCCTCAACAAGATGGACTGACATGGTGGCTGCAGCAATGGGCTCAAGTATACCAGGGACCGTGAGACTGGCAGGACTGGGCAGTGTTTGGTTCTGTTGTACATAAGGTTGCTATGAGTGAGAGATGACTTGACGGCACCTAACAATAACAACCTAAAAGGGTTGTTATGATGATTACATAATATTTGCAAAGTACTTAGAATAGTGCCTGTAAAAGAGTAAGGCCTATATATGTGTTTGATAAGTTAATACCATCAATAAAAATGACATTCCCATTGCCTGTGTTCAAAAGGTTAAAGTTATGGGAAGCAGAAATTCTTGCTACAGTTTCTAATTTAAAATGTTCCCAAAGTACATATACCTTGGATCTGGCAATTCCACCCCTAGGAGTCTACTGCATAGAAAAAAAGAAAAAATAAAGAAAAGCAACAGTACACAAGGACATATGTAAACGAATGTTTACTGCAACATTATTCATAGTGGTCAAGTATTGGAAATAAAGTGAACACTCAAAAATAGAAAAGAATGATTTAGAGATTTCCACGAAGTACTGTTGAGTGAGAAAAGCAAGATTCAGAAAAGCATGTGTAATAGATCCTACTTTTGTAAAAGGAAAAAAAATTTAATTGTTTGTGTGTGTATGTGTATGTGTGTGTCTGTGGTGTCATACAGGTATGAATGGCATGAAGAAAAATAGGGAAACACAAATACTAGAATGTTAACGTGACTTACATTTCAGGGGGCAAAGGTGGAATAAGGGAAGTAGAAGTGTGTATGGGTCTGAGGGCTGGGGGGGAAGGAAACCACATTAAAAACAGCAATATGTAAGATTCCACTCATATTAAAATTTCCCACGCATACACATATGTGTGTATGCATGCACAGGTGTATATGCAAAAGAGATCCATGAAATGACCATCACCAGAAAGGTAAAGGTGATTGTTTGAGTGTGGCAGGATTCTAGAGGACCCTTACTTTCTTTATATTTTTAGGTATGTTCTTCTGTGTTCAGAATCTACACAATGAACACATATGACTTATATTATTAAAACAAAACGAATAAAGCTATATTTTCATTGTGAAGAAAAAAATCAAAATAGAAATAAAATTTCCAAATTATTTGTAGGCCATAGTTTAGTGTGGTCAGAACAGTAACCAGGCCATCAGAAGACCTGAATTTTACTCCTGGTTTTGCCATTGACTAGTTGTTTGACTCTGGGTAAGTCCCTTAACTCTCTGTAACTGAGTTTCTTCATCTAAGAAAAGAATCCTTATTTTGCCTTCCTTCCAGGGTAATGTGAAGATAAAACGTGTGAATGGATATGAGCTAGTGCTGTGAAAACTAAACATTGAATTAGTATTAGAGAGATTATTACTATGCTGTTTCTTGGACAAAAATATTGAAGACTTACCAAGGCAGAAATAGACCAGAGACCAAATATTCCTCCTTCCCCAAACACTGGCTCAAACAAGGGCACAGCCACCAACAACATGGCAGATGACATAGGTGCCTGGTAGTACAGCAGCTGCATTGAGTTTACTTGCAATTCATGCTGTTTGGCTCCTACCCACTGAAAGTTAGGAGATAAAATAAGTTAGACAGAAAAGAATTAGCATCACTTAATAAACAAAAGATTTATCTCCAGCCACAGAGAAGGGAATGTGGAGTGGGGACTAGAGGAAAGGGAAATACCTAATTATAGGTATACATCACTTAATACCCATTCGAGCAATGTCCATCTGATGTACGTTCATGGTCCAGTAAGATTCCCACCCACTCCCCCCCCGAAAAAAGGAAAGCAGCTCTCCTTCTGTTTACATCCTCCTAATAGTTTTAAAGATCCCAAACCCAGACTCCTGGAGCACTGGAGCGTGTGTGGAATACAGGCAGGTGAAGTAGAAGACATGGCTCTGGCTATAGGCTCTCTGGCTTGGTCTGGTGGTAGGGGCCCGGGCTGTTCCTGCTGCTCAAATAGGAGGAATAGTGAGCGGTGAGTGAGCCTGGGCATGCTCCACTCCTTTCCTACTCACTTCTTCTCACTCTGGTCCCCCCTTATCATTATTGCAGCAGCAATAGCTTCACCCATTCCTCCAGCCTCCACCAGTAGCTCCAGTAGCAGCAGCAGCAACAAGGACAACAGGAAGTGGGCTTCCATAAGATTTTAATAGAGTGTTAATACAATATCCAAACCACATAACGTCTTAGTTCACAGAATGTAACATGGATGTTAAGCAATGCACACCTGTATTCTACAAGCAAGACTTCAACGATCAATAATACATATGAATGCCCTTTAAGTATTTTGAATCCCCCCCAAAAAACCAAACCACTGCCATCGAGTCAGATCCAACTCATAGTGACCCCTCCTTGGGTTTCCGAGGTGGTATCTCTACAGAAGTAGATTGCCCAACCTTCCTTCTGAGATGTGGCTGGTGGGTTTGAACCATCAGCCTTCTGGTTAGCACTCAAATGCCTCAGGCACTATGCCACCAGAGCTCCCAAGTATTCTGAATAGAGCACTATAAATTTGATTTCTCATAACCTAAAGTCTTGTCAATTTTAAAGAAGGGGGAAAAAATCCCCTTTTCTTTCTGGTCCTAGTAAATGGGGGAAAGTAAATGCATATATGGGCCCACAAGCATCAGCCATCTTGGGAAAATAAGGGAGAAATGGAAGTGTAGGTGATAAGTAAGAATACAGATGCAGGGCCCACAAGCATCAGCCATCTTGGGAAAATAAGGGAGAAATGGAAGTGTAGGTGATAAGTAAGAATACAGATGCAGCTCCAGATTTCATTTCTTTCTGGCCCAAAGAAAAGATTACAGGAAGGGAGCAGGTTAGAGACTGACGAGAACCTCAGTTAGTCTAAGGAGCCACCACTGTGCGTGACTAGAGAACTAGAAAGCTCTTTTGATTTACTTCACAAAATCCAATGAATGTGATGGAAAATTTCCTCTGTATGGATGACTTTTCTGTGGGTAACAGCCCTTCCCCCCAAAATTAGGGAATCTCCAACTCTAAAATATCATTCAGTAGAACTAACACATCCAAACCTCAAATCCCATTAGACCTCAAAATGTTTCAGAAACATGATTGAAAAGAAGGCTTTAAAGAAAACCTGATGGAGCTGTGTGAACAAGATCTGGCAAGAACAGCAAAGCTTGTGAATAATACTGCCTACAGAGCTCTTTTTTCTGTAGGTCTGGGTATCCTGTTACATAGACTCTAAGTCTACAGAAATGCACTAAGACAAAAAACAGAAAAGCAGGAAACCTGAAACGTACTCCTGCCAGCCTTCACCTAAGACTCTTGTATGGATAAGAAGGTCAGAGAATTCATTCTTCAGCTGCCCACTCCTTGGGCACAGCAGCAGGCAAAACAGATGGCCAGAGTGTGTGTACGTCCCTCTTTTCCTTTAGTAGCTTTGCCAGGCATCTGCATATGCCTCTCCCACAGAACTGTCTGGAACAGTGGTCCATACTCAAAATTTTGTGTCTGCTCTCTCTCACTGCAGTGCAGCCTGTCTTCTGCCCACCATCCCGCCACAGCAACTGTTTTCCCAAAGGGCACTGTCACCTCCAACTGCCAGATCCAAAGGATTCCTCAGCCTTCCTCCTGCTGGACTCTCTGCAGTAGCTGCAAATTTCTCTTGGAAGAACCTGACTTCCGGTTTGCACTGCTCCCTCATCTCTTACCTGATGCACCTCTTCCTTCACGATGTTCAAGGCTTGGCCTTCTTTTATCTCCCGGACTGCTCTCTTTCACTATCTGTTGACATCTGAAATCCACATTATCTATACCTCGACTTTCTTCCTTGAACATGCTTAATTTCACATCATCAACAATTACCTGGCCACCTTCACTTAGATAGTCTGCAGGAACTTGTTTAAAACAAACTCACATTCCTTCTACATACTAGCTCCTCTTGTATCCCTCCACTTAATGATATAACCTTCCCCAAGGATTAGACCTCCTTTCTCCCTCACTCTCCCATTCAGTCAAATACTACTAATACTTTCTCCAAAACGTCTCTGGGACCTGTCTCCACCTTCCCATGCCCATCTCCACTGTCCTAGCCGAGGCCCTCATGTCTTTCCCTTAAAGCATGGGTAGCTTCCTAACTGCTATACTGTCCCTCTTCTCTTCTCTCTTATCTACTCCTTATTGCTACCAGGTATGTTTCTAAAACACAGGGAATGATCAAGTCATTCCCCTATCTAAATTTCTTTCCCTGTGCCTTCAGAATGAAGAACACACTTCCTCAGCCTGACATCCAAGACTCTTTGCCATCTAGTCTCACTCACTCGCAGCTTTTTCTCCCTACAACACTCTAGCCTCGCCAAACAAATCAACTTCTCCGAAAGCGCTCTGTGCTTTCACGTATCATCGCAAAGAAAGATCTCTACTGTATTTCTCTGCCAAGCAAATTCCTGTTCATCCTTCAAATTAAATGATCACTTTTTCCATGAAATCTTATCTCACCACACCTCTTGTAGAAGTGCCACTTCCTCCACAGTGTTCCTCAGATCTTTCTTCGTTTTCTCAGGTATACTACTTGTGCTTTGCTGTCTACATGTGTCCCTACAATGCTGCACTGTAACTGCTTTTCATCTCTCTATATCAAGGCAGAGCATAAGACTTAGCACAAGAAACGTCTGATGGATGAATGAATGAATAAGTCAGCCTGCTCTCTACAACCAAAGCTAATAGCTTATCACTCATCTTTTAACTCTTTTTAATTCTTCTAGTAGTACAAGAAGAAATATCTTAGAAATTATATCTAAGAACAATGGGAAAATACAACTTTCTTTAAAAGAAAAATTTCCAGGGAATATGCCTATTCTGAAGGAGCTCTGGCAGCACTATGGTTAAGGCATTGGGCTGCTAACCAAAGGTTCAAATCCACCAGCCACTCCATGGGAGAAAGATGAGGCAGTCTGCTTCTGTAAAGATGTACAGCCTTGGAAACCCTATGGGGTCACTATGAGTTGGATGGACTCAATGGCAATGGGTTTGTTTTAGTTTTATGGCTATTCTGCAACAGTACTTTACTATTAGTAGAAAACCCATTTACTAGTCTACACTAATTTAGTTAACATGCCCATTAACTAGTCTACACTCATTTACTTGTCAACCTCATTTCAAATATCCACCTGAGAGATACAGAACCCTTTCATTCTAACCTACAGCAATTCTGAGACTTGTGTGAACAGAAATGATCATACTAATATGGATAGTAACAACTGTGATTTAAAATTATGTACAAGGAATCCAGGAATTCTACTCTTCAACAAATTAAATGTCTTGCTATATTTAAGAAATACTTAGCCCTACTACGGAGGAAAAAAAAATTTATATAGAAAAAAAACTGTATACCCACTGAAGTGTACCTGTTATGGATTGAATTGCGTCCCCCCAATGTAAACCGCTACGCCTGTGATGAGGAGCCCTGGTAGCACAGTGGTTAAATGTTTGGCTGCTAACTGAAGGATCGAGTCAGCAGTTCAAACCAGCTGCTTTGTGAGAGAAAGATGTGGCAGCCTAATTCTGTAAAGATCAAGGGGGAAAAAAAAACAACCCAAAATCCCAAATTCATTGCTGTAGAGTTGACTCCCACTCATAGCAACCCTATAGGACAGAGTAGAACTACCCCACAGGGTACCAAGGTTATAAATCTTTACAGAAGCAGACTGTTACATCCTTCCCCCATGGAGCAGTTGGTGGGTTTGAACTGCCAACCTCTGTGTTAGCAGCTGAATGCTTAACCACTGTGCCACCAAGGTTCCTTCCATAAATATTACAGCATGGAAATTCTATGGGGGCAGTTCTATTCTGTCCTACAGGGTTGGTTTGGAGTTGCAATTGACTAGATAGATGGTAACTGGTTTTTGGTACACCTATGATTTTATAATCCCATTTGGGTAAAGAGCTTTCTTTGTTATGTTATGATACAATGTTAGTGTACGGTGTGTCCTAAATCAATCTTTTTTTGAGATTTAAAAGAGCAGATTAAACAAGCAGCAAAAAAGCAAAGATAGGGAAAATAAATATCATACCACAGGAAGATCACCAAAGACCAGAGAAATAGACGCTGAGAAGAGGCAAAGACATTCCCCCAGAGCCCACAAAGAAAGCAAGCCTTCCTCCAGAAATGGCACCCTGAATTTGGACTTTGAGCCTCACTGTGAGAAAATCAATTTTTGTCTGTTAAGCTCACCCACCATCCACTTGTGGTATTTCTGTTGTAACTGCTCTAGACAAGTAAGACAGTACCCAAATGCAATCTTTCTAAAGCACAAAGCTGAACATCCTCTTATCATCTTCGGAGTAAAAGAGTATCATGGAACCAAGCGACAACACTGAGTGGGTGCTTCTATCCTTTCATGTCACTGATCTCTTATCTTATTTAAACTGGCTCTATGCAACTAAAAAGGAGCTCTGGTGGCGGAGTGGTTAAAGCATTGGGCTGCTACCCAAAAGGTCAGTGGTTCAAACACAACGGCCGCTCTGTGGGACAAAGATGAGGCAATCTACTTCCATAAAGATTTACAGCGTTGGAAACCCTATGGTGCAGTTCTACTCTGTCCTAAAAGGGTCACTAGGAGTCAAAATCAACTTCACCGCAGTGAGTTTAATGGCACTAAAAAAAATTCAATCAACCCAGTACGTTTTGTAATAATGTTTCTGAAATGACCAATACCAGAAAGTTTAAGACGCTGGTATTACTGAACTCCTAACATCCTAACAAGAATGCCTTAGTTTACAACCAATGGATGCTTGTCCAAAAAGTAAAACTGGTTAAAACGTTATACATCTTGGCTTAGAATTCCCATGTAAGTACACCCCAGAATTTCCAGTCTACGGTTTTCAGTATAGAGAGAATACTGTTTCACTATACCCTACACCAAGTTAGTTTTTTCCTTATGATGTAAGAAACAACATACATACTGCTGGGAGTTCATGATAATGAGGAAAGTGAATCCATAAACACATTATTCAATGAATGCCTGCTATAGACAAGGCATAGGCATCGTACTCTGAATAAGTGAAACAGTCCTTGTTGTAAAGTATTCTATTCATATAGACAAATTATTAGAAGCCAATACACAAGTTGTAGTTGCATTTTTTTTGAGGTAAAGATCTATAAATCTGAAATTTCCCTTTCATTTTTGAAAATGTACCCTTTCACAGTAATGTTTTAATTGAATAGTACCTGATAACTATAACCAACAAACTTAGTCCTCAAGTAAAAAGTCTTACTACTTATTTTGTAAAGAGTTCCCAGAAAATATAACTACCTCAAACTCAGATTAAGCCTGGGTGTTATACACTTACAAACAGGTAGGTATTTGGTGAGCATCATACACCCAAGATTTCCTGTCTCCTTTTCTTCTCTTCACTTTGAGTCAGACAACTTACGCAATTATAGCTTTTTTCCCCATAGTCTATTGTCTCTACATTGTATTTTCTAAACTTTGGGATACAGCTTCAAAATTTATGAAATCTGCTAAAAAGCACATAAAGTAAAAAAAAAAAAAATTACCAACCACTTGATAAAGGGATGTAACTAAAACACCAAGAGCAGCAAACACCATTCCAAGGAAATTAAACTTCACATCGTAATAAGAATTTAGGATTACACCTAAAGTTATAGGAATCTGTAAAGAAAAAGAGGTAAATATTTTTCAGATTAAATTCAAGAGACAGACTTTTAGTATTCCTTTCACAGTGTCTTATAAGGTTTTTAAAAACACATCACTGGGAAACAATGAACCTCTATCAATGTTCTTGCTTTTGGGAAAACTGTTCATTCTATTTACTCAAAGCAAAATACAATAATTGGTGTTCACATTTAATTCTACTTTACATTTGGGGTAAAATAATGAATTGATGCATTGCACTTTGCAATAAATGAGTATCAATGTGTGTACACCTAAGTACATGGATCGTAAAGCAAATGTCTACACAAAATATAAAGAGATAAATATGTAACTACCAAAAACAAATAAAATGTTAAGAAATATTGTAAGTTGGTAAGTGCTAAAATTATTTTAGCCCATCTCCTTTTATTTAAAGATGTAAAAACCCTTGCAATGTGTAACCAGAGTATTCTGAGATTCACATTTTACAGGGTTTGGTCCCCTGGAGCAGGGAAGCTGTTTTCCGTTGGAGGTTTTGCAGACCTTCTGACACATTGTATTGCATCACGCAATACAGTTTTCTTTTCTTACTGATCTCAGCATGTAAAAGATTTCCCTCAAAGACTGGTTATTAAAACTCACATAAACACACCTTCTGGGTTAAAAGCCCAATAGAGCGCCAATATGGCTTTTTTTTTCCACCTCCCCAAAATAAGTACGAAGTTCCAATAGTCAAAGATGACTCATTTGAGAATGTTTATATGAGGAGAAAGAGCATGGCACAAGGTTAAACAATATACATTGAAATTTCCCGGGGAGAACGACGTTCCAGGAGATGGGCTGTCAGACATGCGCCTGGGGAAGCTGAAGCTACTCACCAGCGTGAGCTGTATTCTGGTAGAGAAGGTTTTCTTATAGTAGAGGGTCTGGATGGCTATGATAACCGGCGTGGTCATGGCCTTGGCCAGCTGATAGGTGCCTATGGTATTGTTCTGCAAAGAGAGGTTGGTGAAGACCACAAAGCCACAGAAGCTGAGGGCCAAGAGAAGAAGCTTGGAGGGCGGCAGACTTTTGGGGGCAAAGATGTCCAACTTCTGGCAGATATACAAGCCCAGCCAGGTGACCACGAAGTGCACCAAGGTCAGGCTCATGTTGGGGAAGCCATGGTGTACATAGATCCATTTGTTGAGGAACACGATGCAGATGGACACCAGCAGGTTGAGCAGGAGCCCGGCGGCGATGCGCCCTCTGCCCCGCACTCGGTCCACCAGGGATGCCATGATCGCTGCCGGTGGCGGAGTGGCGACCCCCGGGAAGCTGGGGCCCTTCAACCTCCAAGGGGGACGCCCAAACTATCTTCGGCTGCCCTTCCCCTCGTCCTCTGCCGCTGGTCCCCTGCAGCCTCCTGCCTCACCTCTCGGTCAGGGACAGGCATACACCTATCGGGTCCGGGGCCAGCGGACGCTTAACCAGCACACACATGCTTCGCCGCCGCCCATTCAGCGGGCTAGGACGCGGCAGTTTGTTCCATTCACCCCGCCCTGCCTACGCTCTGGACCACGTGATTCGGGGCATCAGTTCTTCCGCCCCGCAGCAGTAGGTGGTGAGCGTTCGCCCCTGCGCAGGCGCGGTGGGCTGTGGACACGGAAGAGTTCCTGTGGGTGTTACCCGAATGTCTTGCCTAACTCTGACCCTGACTGGGCTGGTCTTAGAGCGCCCTCTTAGTTACATTCCCTTTGTGTCAGTTACCCGATTGTGAGATACCTGTTCTTTCAAGCTTGTGGAATGGGGTATGCAGACACTGTTGGCCAGTTTGACGTGTGAAACTGATGGGCAAAATCTTTAAGCCTCCGCTCTGGAACTGGGGGCAGGGACAAAGGTCCATTTCTCCCAAAATGCCACCTCTATTTCACAACCAAGCACTGGGCAGGCTCGGTAGCCTCTGTCCTTGATTTGCCTCTCGTGCTGTGTTAACTTCATTCTCTGAGTGAGATGGGGAAAGCGCAGTCAAGATCCCAGTATTCTCGGTCTGCGGTCTCTCTGCCGCACTCACCAGGAAGTTAGCCTTCTTAGGAGATACCGTAGCTCCTAACTGGAAGCTGGGGAGAGGTATCTTGGACACATCCAGACCGAGTGGAACGGGAGCTTCCGTTTCGTTGAGTTAGGGGACAACTGGGAGGGAGCAGGGTGTGGCCCAAGTGCCACAGATTCTTACTGTTCTAAGATTTAGTAATTTTTCTTAAATAAATATTTCTGCATTTGTAGTACGCCCTAATGGCAACTTCCAGAGATTTCAAATGGTTGTTTTTAATATAATTTTCACCAGGTACTGTTTTTTGGGGGGCACAGGTCCACCGACATCACAATCTATTCTGAAAACTTTGAAAGTTATTATATCATAAAGAAATCTGAGAGTTCTTTATATAAAGTAGATACTAGTCTTGTGTTAAATATGTGGTTTGCAAATATTTTCTCCCAGTCGGTAGCTTGTCCTTTCTTCCTTTTACCAGGGTCTCTCATACAGCAAAAGCATTAATTTTGATGAAGTCCAAGTGATCAATGTTTCCTTTTATGGATTCCAACAGAATGTGGAAATTATTGAACCATATCATTAATATCACACTCAAGTAAAATTCTGCTCAAGATAACTGAAAAATGGTTGAAGCAGTATATTGATAAGGAACTGCCAAAAATTCAAGCCAGATTCAGAACAAGGTGTAGAACCAGGGATATCATTGCTGATGCCAGATGGATCTTGGCTGAAAGCAAAGAATACCAGAAAGATGTTTACCTTTGTTTGAGTATGTAAAGGCATTCGACTGTGTTGTTGTTAGGTGCCGCCAAGTCGGCTCTGACTCATAGCGGCCCTGTGCACAACAGGATGAAACACTGCCCTGTCCGGTGCCAGCCTCACAATCCTTGCTATACCTGAGCCCATCGTTGCAGCCACTGTGTCAGTCCATCTCATTGAGGGTTTCCCCCTTTTTTGCTGACCCTCTACTTTACCAAGCATGATATCCTCCAGGGAATGGTCCCTTCTGACAACATGACCAAAATAGGTGAGACGAAGTCTGGCCATTCTTGGTCCCAAGAAGCATTCTCGCTGCACCTCTTCCAGGACAGATGTATTCGTTCTTTTGGCAATCCCTGGTACTGTCAATATTCTTTGTCAGCACCACAACTCGAAAGCATCAACTCTTCTTCCATCTTCCTTATCCACTGCCCAACTTTCATATGCATTATGAGGTGACTGAAAACACCATGGCTTGGGTTAGGTGCACCTTAGTCTTCTGGTGTTGTAGTACTTAAGGCATTTGACTGCTAACCAGAAGGCTGGCAGTTCAAACTCACTAGCCACTCCTTGGAAGGAAGGTTAGGCAATCTAATTCCATAGTGATACCACCTCGGAAACCCAAGGAGAGGTCGCTATGAGTCAGATCCAACTTGACGGCAGTGAGTTTCGGTTTTTTTTTTTTTTTGGTTTAATCTTCTAAGAGACATCTTTACTCTTCAGCACTTTAAAGAGTTATTTGCAGCAGATTTGCCCAGTGCAATACAATGTCTGATTTGACTGCTGCTTCCATTTGTGTTGACTGTGGTACCAAGTAATATGAAATCTTTGACAAATTCAATCTTTTCTCCATTTATCGTGCTGCTGCTTATTGGTCCAGTTGTGAGGATTTTTGTTTTATGTTAAGGTGTAATCCATAGTGCAGACTGTAGTCTTTAATCTTCATCAGTAAGTGCTTCAAGGCATCTTCACTTTCAGCAAGCAAGGTTGTATGATCTGCATATCACAAGTTGTTAATAAGTCTTCCTCTAATCCTGATGCCACGTTTTTCTTCATATTGTCCATTTTCTTGGCTTATTTGCTTAGCACACAGATTGAATAAGTATGGTGAAAGGATACAACCCTGATGCACTCCCTTCCTGAGTTTAAACCATGCAGTATCCCCTTGTTCTGTTTGAACAACAGCCTCCTGGTCTATACACAGGTTTCTCATGAGCACAATTAAGTGTTGTGGAATTCCCATTCTTCTCAATGTTATCCATAATTTGCTATGATCCACATAGTTCAAGGCTTTTGCATAGTCAATAAAACACAAGTAAACATCTTTCTGGTATTCTTTGCTTTCAGCCAAGATCCATCTGACATCAGCTATGATATCCCTTGTTCCATGTCCTCTTCTGAATCTAGCTTTTATTTCTGGAACTTCCCAGTTAATATACTACTGCAACTGTTTTTTAATTCTACTGTGTAGATCATAACAAATTATTGATATCTTTGCAAAGAATGAGAATTCCACAACACTTAATTGTGTTTATGAGGAACCTGTACATAGATGAAGAGGCAGTCATTCAAACACAGTAAGAGGATACTGCATGGTTTAAAATCAGGAAAGCTGTGTGTCAGGGTTGTATCCTGTCACCATACATATTCAACCTGGATGCTGGGCAAATAATCCAAGAAGCTGGACTACATGAAGAAGAATGTGGCATCAGGATTGGAGGAAGACTTATTAATAACCTGCAATATGCAGATGACACAACTATGCTTGCTGAAAGGGAAGATGACTTGAAGCACTTACTGGTGAAGATCAAAGACTACAGTCTTCATTATGGATTATGTGTCAATATAAAGAAAACAAAAATCCTCACAACTGGGCCAGTAAGCAGCATTACAATAAATAGAGAAAAGAATGAAGTTGTCAGGGATTTCATTTTACTTGTATCCAGAACCAGTATCCATGGAACTAACAGTTAAGAAATCAGATAATGTATTGTATTGGGCAAATCTGCTGCAAAAAAACCTCTTTAAAGAGTTAAAGAGCAAAGATGTCACTTTGATGTCTCAGGGGCACCTGATCCAAGCCATGGTATTTTCAATTGCCTCACATGCATGTATGTGAAAGCTGGACAATGAATAAGGAAGAAGTGTTGATGCATTTGAATTGTGGTGTTGGCACAGGATATTGAAAACACCTGGGACTGCCAGAAGAACCAGCAAATCTGTCTTGGAAGTACAGCCAGAATGCTCCTTAAAAGCGAGAATGGCCAGATTTCATCTCACCTACTTTGGTCATGTTATCAGAAGGGACCATTTCCTGGAGAAGGATACTATACTTGGTAATGTAAGGGGTCAGCAAAAAAAGAGGAACACCCAACAAGATGGACTGACCCAGTGGCTACAACGATGGTTTCAAGTATAGCAAAGGCTGTGAAGATTGCACAGGACCAGGAAGTGTTTTGTTTTGTGGTACACAGGGTTGCTGAGTTGGAGCCAACTCATGGCCATCTAACAGTTCAATATCTAATCTGAGAACTCTGTGCCTTAGATCTTGAAGTTTCTCCTGTATCTTTTTCTAAAAACTTCATGATTTTATGTTTTACACTTCAATCCATGACCATTTTGAGCTAATTTTTTTTAATCAAGTGTGTGACTTGGGTCATAGTTTTCTTTTTTTGCACATGGATGTCAAATTGCTCCAGCACTATTTGTTGAAAAGCTATCTTCTCTTCACTCAGTTGCTTGTTTACCTTTGTGAAAACGTTGAGCCTACTGGGTTGGTCTGTTTCTGGGTTCTTTCTTCTGTTCCAGTGATCTGTGTGCGTTCTCACCACTGTCTTGCTGTAGCTGTGGAAGTCTTCAAATCAGGTAGACATTATTCTTTTTTGCAAACTTGTTTCTTATTCTAGTTCCTCTGTCTTTCTATATAAATTTTAGAGTAACATTAATACATAGACATATATACTAATATATGTATTAAAATTTGTGTTGACATTTTATCAATCTGCTCTATCAATTTGGAGAGTCATCTATGTTGAGTCTTCCAATCACTAAATGTGGTATATCTCTCCATTTATTTAGATCTTCTTTGGTTTCTTTCATCAACATTTTGTAATTCGTACCTAAGTATTTTTTCAGTGCTTGCAAATCATATTGTATTTTTAATTTTGGTGTTTATTTCTAGCACATAGAAATGTAACTGATTATTCTGGAACCTTGCTGAACTCACTCATTTGTTCTTGGAGTTTATTTTTCTGCAGACCCCATGGGATTTTCAATGTAGGCAATCATGTCATCTGCAATAGATAAAATTTTGTTTTTTCCTGTTTGATCTGTACTCCTTTTATTTCCTTTTCTTGACTTATTATACTGGCTAGTACTTTCAATGTTATGTTGAATAAGGGTGGCAAGAGCCCACAACCTTACTTGGAAAGCATTGTTAAATATAACATTTTTAAGGTTCTTAAAAATATAAAATACATGCTTATTATAAAATATTTAAAAAATACCAAAGGTAAGCTCCTAGTCTTCAAGGTAACCAGTGATGTTTCATGTTTCCTTCCAGATCTCTCCCCAGTTCACACCTCACAAAATCTATATACACATATATGAATACATGTGTTTATATGTATGTCTTTACAGACATATATTAGTTTTGCACTTGCTTGTTTTCATTCGTTCATACATCCTGGCCAGCCTTCATGTCGGCTCATACTGCTCTACCCCATTCTTTTTAATGGACACATAGTAAAGTATAAGAATTAAAGAGATTATTGATAAGTAAATATTTCATCTCTGAATCACTTTAGCTAATATAAATAAAGACTTGCAGAGTCCATTGCATCTGTAACTCCTCCAACTGACGTCAGGACAGTGTTGTGATCAGCTACTGCTTCCTGCTTTGGGTACCAGGAGTGTTAGTATCTGTCTCTCACTTAAGCCAGAGATGTCCCAAACATAGCTAACCACAACCACCTATGGGACATAATATCCTAAAATGCAAATTCTATGACCCCTCTGGCTTTCTTAGCTGGATATATCTCAGAGTGGCATCTGTAAATATACATTTAACAGGTTCCTAAAGCTATTCAGATGTTTAGCCAGTGTTGGAGTTATAAATCTGGACCATGTTATTTCAGTCACATTCTCTCTTCCAGTTACCAGTTCCAGTCCTTTTGAATTATTTGCTGAATCATAAACAGGCCTAAATAACACTCAGTTTTAGGCCTTGTTCATACCGATTTCCCTATTTGTAGCGCCTCAGGCTTTTTGCCCCGTATCTTTGTCTTTGTAAATAAGGCTCATTCCTCAAACTCCAGTCCAAATGTTACTTCCTTTGAGACCTTCTAGCTGGAAATAGTTTCTTGTTACTCAGATTTATCTGTATGTTTTTATGGTTAGAAGTCTGGTGGTGTATATGGTACTTATATTTTTTGTATCTCCCCCACTAGAAGAGCTGGATAAAACTTCGTATTCTGCAATTTATTCAGTGCTTACTGACATTTTTATAGCTGATCTGCTGAATCAGAGTTAATAAACTAGAAATGTCTTCAAAATAAAGAAAATAATAAAGGTATTTTTAAATACCTTTTTAAAAATTTTTAAATGTCATATTCATTTTAAGTGTAATTAAAAAAAAAAATTGTATGAAAAATGATATGCCTGGGCTGAAAATGAACTTACTTACCATCCGCTTTATAATTTTAAGATATAAGAGTATTTATGATTACAGGAAGGAAGATGGGGCAATCTACTTCCGTAGTGATACTGCCTTGGAAACCCAAGGAGGGGTCGCTATGAGTCGGGGCCGACTCGACGGCACACAACAACAACAACAACAACAACAACAACATGATTACAGGAAAAAAATTAGGAAGATGGAAAATTACATTTACTTATTACATAAAAACCAATGCTGGAATTTATAAGAACAGACATTTTTAATTTTTATATCATTTTATTAATAAACACAGGGGAATACTGACATAATACATTAAAATTTCAAAGTGTCATCATAATATTCTAAAAAGTATAAAATTCAAATTTGTAAATTTTACATTCTCTCCCTCATGATAATGCAAAAGAAAGAAACCCAGTAATTACAAATATGTATATTTTACAAAAAACGCCACTTATCATGGAAATTAGTGAGATTACAAAGAATAGGTGAATTATGACTGAATTTCATACCCTAATGGGTCGAGTCCCTGGTCTAAGAGCATTAAGGAGGATTCCCTTAACTTCTGAAGCAATTTCTTTAGTTCTTCCTTAGAAAATACCTGTATATAAAAAAAAAAGTTAAGAATGAGAACAAAGAATGCTATGAACTTATAGCTCATATGAAGTTATAACCTAATCAATCTGATTAACTAAATTCCTTTTTCAGATTTAGGTAGTCAGGGACTAGTAAAGTAGTCCAGGAACTTTAAAGTTAATACCCAGGGCCAGTCTACACACTTCTTGCTGCATAGGAACATATACAGTTTTGGAAAAGAAGCACAAACAGTAAAACTAGATCATTTGTTAAGACAAAAACAACTAAAAAATGTAAACACATCTCATAAAATTGATTATTACTACAGAGCTTACCAATCACTAAAATTTTAAATTTCAAATGCTTTAGAACTTACTAGATACAATTTGTGGCGCTCGGAGGATACCATATCAGCTAACTGCAGACATTCCTGATACTGACCAGTACTGTGTAATATGGTGTGAAGAAGAAAACACAACATTGGCAGACAAAGCTTTCTCAGTGAAATCATTTGATGTGCTCTTTCCTGATCGTCTTCAGCATCCTACAAGCAGATAGCAAGGGATCATTTTAACAACTTTAAGCTAAATACCCTTATAAAAAGAAAAGTCAAAAAAACGAATCAAAGCCAAACTGCAAACCAAGACATCTATGATCAATTGAATTTTGACAAGGGTCCAAAGTCCACAGGTTAGAGAAAGAAGAGTCTCTTTAATAAATGATGCTGAGAAAACTGAATTCTTCACATGCAGATAAACACATGTCTAACAGCATATACAAAAAATAAATTCAAAATGGATTCCAAGGGACTAGTGGACCATGTGAACCTCAGACTATATGACCATAAGACCAGAAGAACTAGATGGTGCCCGGCTACCACAGTCAACCACCCAGAAAAGGATCAGTGCAAGAGATCCTGGATAGTGTGGGAGAACAATGTGGAACAAAACTCAAAATCATGAAAAAGACCAGATTTACTAGTCTGATAGAGCCTGGTGAGACCCCTGAGACTATGGCCCCAAGTTACCCTTCAGGTTTGGAACTGAACTCACTACCACACTTCTAGCCAAACAATAGACAAGCATATAGGGTAAACATTTACATCAAGTAGATATACTCCTTAGATTGATATCATGGGAGATCAGAAGGGCAGTATTTGCAGAGGGAGATAGATAGCTCAGGGGCAGGAATGCACAGGAAAGAAGGACATAAGGAAGAAGTAACTACAGGGAGGGAGTGGGAAGAGAGCTATTACTTTGTGGCATCTGCAGTCAATGTCATGAAACAAAATGTACCTGAACTGCTATATGGAAAATGAATTTGCTCTGTAAACTTTCACCCAAATCACTTTTTTTTTTTTTGTAAATGGACTAAGTACTTAAATGTGCAAAATAAAATTATAAAATTCTTAGAAGACCAAGCAGGCAAAACACTGTCAGGCCTAGCTTTCAATAATAGATTATCTAATACAAGAAGAAAAGCACAAATAGCAAGAGACAAAATAAATAAATGGGACTTCATAAAAATTAAAAACTTTTGTTCATCAAAAGATTTCACCAACAAAGTGAAAAGAAAAGCTACTGACCAAGAGAGTATCTTTGGAAACCATGTATCTGATAAGAATCTAATAAACAAAAAAAAAAAATAAAACTTTGACACCTTAACAACAAAAGGGCAATCAGAAAAAGGGCTTGGATAAACATTTTACCAAAGAAGTCACCAAACTCATGAAGATGGTCAATATCATTAGCCATCCAAAACCAAACCAAACTCACCACCACTGAGTGAATTCTGACTCAGAGCGATCCCCTTTGAGTTTCCAAGGCAGTAAATCTTTACAGGTGTAGATTGCCCAGTCTTCCTTCCATAGAGTGGCTGAGATACAAATCAAACCCACAATGATACACCATTTTACTCCTACTAGGATGGCTAATGATCCAAGAAACTGGACTATATGAAGAACATGGCATCAGGATTGGACAAAAACTCATTAACAACCTGTGATATGCAGATGCTACAACCTTCCTTGATGAAAGGGAAGACTTGAAGCATTTACTTATGAAGATCAAAGACTACAATCTCTGATATGGGTTACATCTCAACATAAAGATCCTCAAAACTGGACCAATAAGCCACATCATGATAAAATGGAGAAAAAATTGAAGTTGTCAGGGATCTCATTTTATTTGGATCCATAATCAACACTCCTGGAGGCAGCAGTCAAGAAATCAGATGCCGTAGTACACTGGGCAAATCCACTGCAAATGAAGTCTTTGAAGTGTTAAGAAACAAAGATGCCACTTTGAAGACTAAGGTGCACCTAAGACTACCAAGCCATGGTATTTTCAATCACCCCACATATAAGTGACAGCTGGACAATGAATAAGAAGACCAAAGAAGAATAGATGCCTTTGACTTGTGGTATTGGTAAGAATGCTGAAATTATCACGGACTGCCAGAAAAACAAACAAATCTGTCCTGAAAGAAGTGCAGCAGGAATGCTCCTAGGAAGTAGTAATGATCAGACGTTGTCTCTTGTACTTTGGTCATGTTGTCAGAAGGGACAATTCCCTGGACAAGGATATCATCCCTGGTAAAGTAGAGGGGTCAGTGGAAAAAGGGAAGACCCTCAACAAGACAGACTGATAGAGCAGTTTCAACGACAGGTTCAAGCACAGCAAGAACTGTGAGGATGGTACAGGATCTGGCAGTGTTTCATTCTGTTTTGCACAGGGTCGCCATGAGTCAGAGCTGAGTCAATAGCATCTAACAACAACATAACGAGGATAGCTAAGAGTAAAGAAAGTAAAAAAAAAGAAAAGAAGAAATCCTGGCGAGGAAATGGGGAGACTGAACCTTTATCCATTGCTGGTGGGAATGCAAAATGATAGTGTTGTGGAAAACAGTGCGGCAGTTCCTCTGAAAACTAAAAACAGAGCTTTCATATGACCCAGCAATTCCACTCCTAAGTATATACCAAAAAGACCTGAAAGCAGAGACTCAAACAGAGATTAATACACCAGGGCTCACTGCAGCACTGTTCCCAATAGCCAAAATGTACAGAGAACGTGATGGGAAATGGCCATCAACAGATGAATGGATAAATAGCATGTGGTACATGTACACAATGGAACTACTCAGATTACCAGTAGAAGAAATGAAGTCCTGATACATGCTACATTATGGATGGGCCTGGAAGGCATTAGAAAAATCCACTACCATCACAAAATAAGCCAAGAACAAAAGGACAAATAACGACCTCGCTTATATAAAAAGATAAGAAAATGCAAATGTACAGAGAACAAAGTTTATTAGTGGTTACCAGGGATGGGAAGGATGGAAGAATCATACTGATTAAGGGTACAGTTGCACAGTTGACTGATATAATTGCTGTCAGTAAGCTGTACATGTGTAAAAAGTTGAATTGGCAAAAGCTGGGTGATAGATATATTTACAACAATGACAAGGAAGGAAAAAAAAAAAAAAAAGCTGAGGCTGCTTATGAAAAACCGAACACTTCATGGGATTTGATTCCTTGGTTTGGATGTTTAGGGTCATAGTTTCATGGGACATCTCAGTTAACTGGCCTAATAACATGTTTAGTGCTTCTGATCTACCTTCCAGTTCACCGTGTAGTAGTAAATGGTGAACTAGAAGGCAGAACAGAAGGAACAACAGCAACAAAATAAAATGTAGGTGGAGGGAAAAAAAAAAAAATCAAACCAAAATGCAAATGGCAGAAGCAAAAGGTTTCTCTAAAGCTTAATTTAATTATGATGCTGGTAAAGAATACGAATATACGAGGGACTGCCAAAGAACAAACAAATCTGTCTTCAAACAAGTACAGCCGTAATGCTCCTTAGAAGAGAGGATGGTCAGACTTCATCTTATATACTTTGGACATATTATCAGGAGGGACCCGCCCCTGGAGAAAGACATCATGCTTGATAAAATGAAGGGTCAGCAAAAAAGAAGACCCTCAACAAGAAGGACTGACACAGTGGATCCAACAATAGGCTCAAACAGCGATGACTGTGAGGATAGTACAAGACTGAGCAGTTTTCCATTCTGTTGGACATAAGGTCGCTATGAGTTGAAACAGACTCCAGGGCACCTAACAACAAAGCTTAATGCCCACTTAATAAAAACCTCAAACAAACAAGACAAGGTTTTAACCATATTATCTAGTAGAAAAGATGTTACGGTAAAAAAAAGGCTTGAAGAGGAACCATGGAATCATAGGTAAGCTGTACAATGTAATAAACAAAATGTTATTTCTAATAAACTTACTATGTCTTGAATAAAAACGTATAAAAGAAGGAAGAATTAGAGCATAAGAACAAAAATTAATCACTAATTCCCTGAGTATATAAAGATGTAAATATAGATAGATATAAAGACTAGAGGCAGGACTTCCAGTGAGACGGAGGAATAGGCAGACAAGCAACACAGACCCTCTTCAACAAAGAAAAGAAAAACCAATTGACAGAGATACAGAAGATAATACTGAAGCCCTGAGCATTGAAAGGAACTATACAGAAGTGGATTAGGCACCAACTAGTGGAAAAACCTGAACGAAAATAATGAGTACACAGATGATCCGAGCTGCGGACTATTAGCTACTCTGACGGGACCAACAGCTTGAATATTTGCAAGTGGTGTTAGGACCTAATAATTGACCTAAACATCAGCCCAGGTCACCACGGGCTGCAGGGACAACTGAGCTGGTGGCCTATGACTAGGAAGGGAAACAGCAAAGACGGAGAGCTGTTAACTTTCCGCTGTCGGGAGGGCACAGCCATTTTAGATATTTAAAGTGACCGAAGGCACAGCCATTTTGAATGTTTACAAGCGGCAGCCATTTTGGATATTTAAAGTGACCAAGGGCGCAGCCATTTTGAATCTTTGTAAGTGGCAGCCATTTTGGATTTTAAAGTGACAGCATTCTTATTCGGATTCCAAGGACCCAAGAATAGGCCGTGTTTGCCAATGTCGGCAACATACAAGAGGCTGACAACAGGAAAGGAGACAGGTGGTGAGTATATAAGTGCTGTCAACTAGTAAATAGAGGAGCACAGCACAGTACCGTGTTTGCATAGATAACATACAAAGAAAACAAAAATTGTGGGCAAGTTACTCTAACATACAATCACCAATTAAATATAAATGCAGAAATGTCACAATGCCTTGGAGACAACAGAGCATCACAGTCTACACAAAGAAACAAGATAAAGCAGGAGAAACAAGCAACCAAGATACAGACCCAAAACACATCCCCGAGGAAGACACAGCATTGCAACTCCCTGATAAGGAATTCAAAAGAGTTATATTTAGGTATCTTCAAAGGATTGAGAGACAGATCAAGGAAAGCACTGACAAAATTGAGGAAAACACAGAAAAAACCCTAGAACAATTTCGAAAGACAATACAAGAACAAAATGACAAAATAAAGAAAAATTAGAAATTACACAAAATCTACACACAGAAATCCAGAAAGTTAATACTAAATTTTCAGAAATAGGTAAGACACTAAATTAAATGGGCAAAGGACCAGACTGAATCAATGGAAGACAGAATGAGTGAGACTGAAAGCAAATACCTGAACACTTCTCTGTTGTTGTTGTTGTGAAGAGACTGTTATAAGGTAGAAAGGCCAATTAACTAAAGTATGAAGTCAGCAGTAGAGGCCTGGACTAGAATGTGGCAGAGGCAGAGGTGGTGGAGGTGATGAGAAGTAGGTAAAGGTGAGCTGCCTGCTCCATTCTCCCTGCCATCCCTCTAGGCTACCAGCCTCCAACACTAATGGAATGATTCCATGGTTAATTAAAAACTTGAGGTGAAGATATAAGAGTATAACAGCAAGGCTATCATGGATGGTTTTGTCTTAAACAGGGGTGACTGACCTGTGCTTCTTTCTACAGGTCATGGACACTTGGCATGGAACTCATCTGTGTTACAGAAAGGGGTGTCATTTTCTAATTCGTACACAAGTGATATGTTTAGTATTGTTGATGATGTAAAAGGATTAAGCTAAACCCAAAAGATGTGATTCCAAATACCATTATTTATCATTTGACTACTTAAGAAATCTCTTGAGAGTTAGTTTTGAAGAAGTGATTGGGACTGAACATTGATTAAAAAATGTTTGCTGAAACAATGGTTTCATTCATTGCCTTCTATCCCAACTCCATTTTCTTTTATAAGACTCCATTTACTAAGATTAGTTAATTAATAGCTAAAATAACAAAGATTTATATATAAATAAGGCACTAAAGTCCTCAAATTTTAAGTGACAATTAACTTTTTTTAATACTTAAATTTTATCTTAATAAACACCGCATGAATCAGAAGAGAAAGGTCTAGCCTGAGGAGGCTGCTTAAGGTTTAACACTAGGCAGCAGACATCTATTAGGAACTTTAGGCCGAGAGTGGAGATTTTAAGAGAATTACTGTATCAGGAATACCAGAAATAAGGCTGTGGGCTCCTGTCTCTGCTGGTTATTGCTTCTGGTCAGAAAGGGGAAGCTAGAGGTTGTAGAAATACATAGCTGTAAAAAATAGTAGTAAATAGACCAAGATAGGAGGAATGGCAGAGGAAAAATACCAAAAACTTTCCTATGGCTTTCTCTGTTCAAAATAATAAACCAAATACTCAAGAATCTAACTTCTGGTTCTCTTTAAGCAGATTATCAGATACACAGAGACAACTGAGCTACTCATTGTCTCTATTATGCACAGGATCAGGCCCAAATGTCTTTGTTTCCCTGATTATCACCTGCTGTATGTGTCCTTTTTCTCATCTCAGTTCATCAACTTCTACCATTCATTCAAGATTCAATCAAACGTCACACCTCTGAAGCATCTTGTCCAGATCCCTCCAAGGCAGAAGCAACCTTTTCTTTCCTTAACTGACAAGCTACTTTATCTGTGCTTTTCTTACGACATTAAATATTTTTGTTAATAGCAGCTCTAAACCAGACCAAATATTAAAGCCCTCAATCCAACCAACTCACTGCCATCGAGTTGATTCCAACTCACAGGACCCCCTTTGAATTTTCAAGGCTATAAATCTTTAGTAAAGTAGTTTACCTCATTATCCTCCCACAGAGCAGCTGGTGGGTTTGAACCGCTGACCTTCTGGTTAGTAGCCAAATGCCTTACCCACTATGCCACCATACTTCCTTAAAGCTCTTCTTAGGTGGTGGGGGGAAAAAACAATCCCAGTCCTACCTCAACTAATCAAATCATAATCTCTGGGGGTAGAGTCCAGTATTTTTAAAAAGTTTCCCAGGTCATTCAAATGGATAGCTTAAGAGATGAGAGTCATTGCTTCATACAGTAAAACCAGTGAAAGCTGGAACCTCTATAAGGCAAAAACTTGTCAGAGAGGGAAAATGTAAATATTTTCCACTAAAATAAGCAATACAAAAGTGGTAAGACTGCACCCAGTCAAAGGTGAAAAATTTGGGAGACCCAGAAAAACAAGGCAGTCTTGTTCAGTTCTGGCTCTCACAGGTTTCACTGTATGTCTTATTGACAACACTAGACTTACCTTCATATCCTTACATTGATTAAATATATGTATAATTAAATTTTTAGATCCAGATTTTTTCCAAAAGTGGATTTCCGCATCTTGAGAAAATGGTTTACTGAAGAGTCAAACACTTTGAGTCTCTAGCTAGTATCTCTAGGTTAAGCTTAAAATATGGATGTTCAGTAATAAATACAAAGGTTGGACAAGATCTGAATATGCTCCTATTCAAAGACAGAACTTTTTTCTAAGACAGTTTTTTAAAAAATAGTTTTAGCTAGGAATAATGCACAGCTTACCTCTCTAACATCCACCATCCACCCTCCATCAACAAACAGTAAGACGTTATACATCTTCTCCTTCACATCAGCAGTTAGGGCATCCAAATGCCCTTTCCAAATGCCATAATCCATCTGCAAAATAATCGTAAGGCAGATATAATGGGACTAACCTCATAAATATTTATAAAGTACAGACATGAATATAGAAAATCATTTTGTATTTCAGTCACCCAAATATAAAAATACTAACAGATTTACCAATAAAACACTAAACTGTTAACTTTGTAACAAATGAATGCTAATATCACCTGAAGATATTTTTCATGTTTGGTTAATTACTTACAACAAAAAAGCTAACTATACAGATGGCAAAACTATACAAAGCAGAACATTAACAGGAAACCACTTGTTATAAGAGGAATATGAATGCTGAGGAAATGACTTCTTTATATAACATTCATTTTTAAGATGAAACATAAATTTCATGTCCATATGCAACTTACTTCATATTTCTTTTCTTTGTGTTCATAAGCCACTGTCTCAGTAAAAGTTGCCTGAGGTGTCAAAGTAGGTTTTTGTGGAGCTGAATTCATATGCTTAAACCACTCATTAAAGGTTTCATGGGCTTCCTAAAGAATAAAATAAAACAAAACACAAGAAGAAAAAGTTTTCATATATGTTCAACAAAGCTTTTAAGATTTGGTTCTTGCCTAAGGCATCTGACTGCTAACCAGAAGGCTGGCAGTTCAAACCCACCAGCCACTCCTTGGAAGGAAGATGAGGCAATCTACTTCCGTAGTGATACTGCCTCAGAAACCCAAGGAGGGGTCACTATGAGTAAGATCCGACTCCATGGCAGTGGTTTTTTTGTTTGTTTGTTTTTTTAGCACTGATCAGAGGGTCATGCTAATAAAGACAAGGTCATGGTTTCAATCTCCTTGGGCATCAGTCAGTACTACAGTCACAAAAGAGAGAAGATTATGAGTCAATCACCATTCTGGAAAAACAGCTCAAAGTCTGAGAATAAATCAGAAAAATCTTCACAAAGCTAGGTACTTCTAGAAATTTCTTTACATTCTTACCAAATAAGCTCGAATGCACAAATGTTCTCTGATAGCATTATCGTCTTCAGCAGGAAGTGGACTTTCCATTCCTTGTTCCTCCCATTGATTATAGATTTCTGCTATAGAATCCTGAGGAATTTTCACAAATACTTCTTTTGCAGCTTCATGTTTTTTTGATGCTGTGCCAAAAAGAGGTATAAGTTTTCAACATACATGGAATTCTGTGTAATGATTTCTAAAAGAGTCAAATTATTGGTTTGTCATTTTTATAGCTATAAAAATTTCAGATGCCAAGGCATGTCTATTAAAGGTCTCGTGATCTTTCTGCCTAATGGCCTGGCTTTTTCTTTATTTCAATCTGATATTAACATAAAGGATACACTAAATGTAGTTATGTTTACATACTTCTGTCTTTAAAATAAGCAATTGTTTTATAAAGTCTGACAGCCTTGAGATTATACTCAAAACTGATTAAGTTTGACATACAAAAGTAGCTATTTGTTTTGTTTTGTTCCTAGTGAGGGATTAAGAAAATAAAACACAAAACAAAACTCAAGGGTATATAGATTAGAACAGAAACTTTACAGAACGAAACAAAAACAGCTCATACCCAGGAATTTTCTCATTATGGCGTTGCCTTGTTTAAGTGCCTCTGCCCTCTGTGCTGGGTCAAATACCAACCAGTCAATGACATCAATCTTTAAGCGGTCCTCCTATTCATTGAAGGGGAAAATGAGAAATTTTGGTTTTCTAAGATGCTCCACAAGTTAATAGAATTTACTTATATTTACATATCTAGTGGACATCATTTCCCCTCAACTTATACAAAAGTATGAAAGCATCTAACTTTCCTTAGTTTATGTTCATATTCATAGTTCTCTATTAAACTATAGAAAACACTTAGTAGGATGTGAATCTGGGATCATATAGTCTATTTCCAAGTAATTTAACTATGTGTGTGATTCCTGTAGGGACGACCCTAAAATTTTTTTTTTTTTCCTAGACATAACTTAGGAGCTCTGGTAGCACAGTGCCTAAGGCACTTGACTGCTAACGAGAAGGCTGGTTGTTCAAACCCACCAGCCACTCCTCGGAAGGAAGGTTGGGCAATCTGCTTCCATAGTGAAACTGCCTCAGAAACCCAAGGAGTGGTCGCTATGAGTTGGGGCCGACTCGATGGCATATAACAACAACAACAGACATAACTTTCTATTCCTTTCTGAAAATAAGATCATGGAAGCTACATCAGCATTAGTGATTTACTAAGGACCAAAAATAAGCTAAAGAGCAGAAATCCACACTTAGATTTTTTTCTATTAAAAAAAAACCTCCTTCAAAATACTGTTATTCTAAGTAATTCTTTAGATAAAACTTAAATTTATTACCAATTTTCATAATCTAAAGGGTTTTGGATGGCAATGAAAAACTCTTAAAAAGAAAGAAATCACTGTAATTTAAGGTAGAAGCAGGTTCACCAAGGAACATCATGAAAGACTTAGTAGCACTTACGTATCATCCCCCTAGTTTACACCCCCAAGTTACCTCAGTAGTGCCAGTATCTAGGGCTGGAGCCAGGTCATGATGATTAAATTCACCATTATCTTTCTTTCGAATATTCTCAACTACAGTTTTTGTTATTGTTGCAACATCCAAATCTAAAGAGTTTTTTTGAAGAGACAAAAACCAAACAGCCAAAATGATTTTGTAAATTTGGAGTAATAATTATTTAAAAATATAACACACAGAATATAAAGATTTAAAAAATACCAAAACTAAAAGATACCTTATACATTAGTTATAGTGTAATTTATGAGCTCTGGTGGTGCAATGCCTATGGCATTTGACTGCTACCCAGAAGGTTGCTGGTTCAAACCCAATAGCTGCTCCACAGAAGGAGATGGGGCAACCTACTTCTCATAAAGATTTACTGCTTCGGAAATCCAATATGGGTCACTATGAGTCAGAAGCAACTCAATGGCAGTGAGGTTTTTTTGTTTTGTTTTGTTTTTTAGTGTAATTTATCTTATTCCTAAAACAGAACTTCAATGAAAATTTTATTGTTTTCTCAAGAGAAACAATTTAAAAGTAGAAGGACAAATGTTACTAAAACCAAAATGGTAATTTACCTAGAAAGCCCGATAAATGAAGTTCTCAACCACTTTTACCTGCTTCTTTAGCCAACTCCAGGCAATGGTGGCGCTGTTCAAACTCTGTAACACCTTCTAAAAATAATGCATACTGGGCAACAGCTAGGTCTTGAGGCAAATGACAGGTATAAAATGCTATGAGATTTGTATGTTTTTCACTTATTAAAAGCTGAAAAACAGAAAAATATTGAAGTGCATCAACAGTAAAATAAGTTCTAGGATTAGCAGTGCTTTTATAAGAGTTTACTTCAAAATTTCATGCATATTTACACATAAGATGAAGAGATTTCGTATCGACATGGATTGTTCTGCTAAACAGAGTAATATAAATTCAAAAGAAATGTCCTAATGATAATTAGAAGATCTCTCTTGGATTCTGATGACTTTCCTGTAACTGGGTATTAAAATAGTGCCATTCTTATTTTTGTTTTCATTGAAAGAAGAAAAAAAGAATCAAACAGTGGATGCTGAAAATTTACCTGTATGTATATTTTTAAAACTTCAATAGAAACTTCTTCCTTGAGAGGAAAGAAAGACATAATTCAAAACTCCGTTACAAATACAACTGCTTATATGTCACAGCAACATGTCTAATAAAGTCTGCTATTGAATCCTTTAATGATTTTAATATTTACCATGGGCTTACAACTATATGCTATATTAAGTGCTTAGAAAAGCTCACGTATTACCTGATTTAACCAAGTAATTACTATTATTGTCTACATTTTCCAAATGAAGAAACTATGACCTACACAGGCTTTGTTTATCCAGAGTTAAAGTTAGAAGCTGCTGAGTAAGGATGTGAATCCAGGATATCTTACTCCAAAGCCCAACCTTTCAACTACTATGTCATTGTGCCTTCTACATGTACTCTGGTAAAAATGTTATCAAACATTTAGAAAAAAATAAAGTAAGAGAGAAAACAGGTTTGAAAACTCAGAGAACTCAGTCTGGTTCAGATGGCTTAACTGCTTGATTTAGAGGTGGGTACAGATGAGAATAAAGGTATGCATATATTAAAAACTGGGTATCCACCAGCATTCAGCAGCCACAACTAGAACCCTAAAGGATCACTGACAGTGAGTTATCACCGAGTGATCATATGAGACTTCTGTACTCTTATTACCATTTCTAGAAAATAACAACAAAAAGTGTGTTTTCCTAAAGAAAGATTTATAGCATAGCTCTGCAAAGAAAAGTAAAATGTTCATTCTCATTTACTTTGGTTTGTAGTCCCAGAGTTCGAAAAAACAAAATGAGATGAGTCATGAAGCGGAGGAGGTGTCCAGGTAGACTATTCCTGCCTTTCGAAAGCCATTTGCTAAATTCATCCATCAAACCTATAAGCCATGAAAGAAAAGATTCAATCCAATAGGGATAAAATCGAAAGAAGAGAAAAAAACACTGCCAAGAACATTTACTTCATTCTTCTGTCTCATTGTTAATAACGATTGTATATAATTCTCCACACACTCCTAAACTAACTTTTTATTTTATAATAACAATTAAGTGAATAGTTGCATTCAAATAGCTGATGCTTATAAAGATTAAAAGATGTCACAGACAATGTTTTGATAACTTTTCACAAAAATTATGAGAAAATGAAGAAATCATACAAAGTAAAACAAAACTATAATATCTTACCATCAATGTCTCCCAGGATAAGGAATTTTTGAACTATATGATAGTGTTCTTGATTCTCTTCCAGAACTCTCTGAAAAAATTTTGACATTTTCCATAAATCTTTTAGTGGTCATTCAGTAGTATGTATTCACTGTTAAGCAAGAAATGCCAAACTTTTGAAGGAACATGTATTAAGAAAAAGTTGGAAATGAAGGGTGTTAGGAAGATCAAATAAAATATGGGAAAGATACTGCCTGCCTTTGAAATATAAGCAAGGCTGAACAATATCTTAAAGCAGAGAACTGTGATATAATAATTTAACTTTGTGAATGTCATCAAAATGTTATTTATATTTTACTACCATTTACCTTGGCACTCCATGGTGGACCAGAAAGGAAGGACACACATGATTTAAGCAAAATAAACTAAAAGATTTCTTTCAACATGAGCAGCACTACTTGAAAACATTCTTTGGGTATTCTCTTCTGCACATAGCACCAAGATTAGCAAAAATCATCAAAACAATGATTAGGCATACAATAAAGAAAGTCATTTATAAGTAACCCGTGGCTTCATTTTTTTTGAAGCAAATAGTCCACTGACTTTTTTTTGTCAAATATATTTTAATCTTTCTTTAGTCAGTTGTCTAATTTTCTTTCAGTATTTATTCATTTTTGCACTCAAACCTTTGCTCTAGCTGAAATTTATTTTAGCACATGGCATGAGGTAGGGATCTAGCTTTGTTTTCTAAATAAATCATCCTTTTTGCTCTGAAAGATTACCTCTGTCATCTATTCAGTTCTCATATATAAATAACAACAACAAAAAAAACCACCCACTACCACAGATTGATTCTGACTCATAGCAACCTTTTGAGGCAGAGTAGAACTCTAACAGAATAGAACTGGCCCATAATGTTTCCATGGCTGTCATCTTTCTCCTGCATTGCAGCCGGTGGATTTGAACTGCCAACCATTTAGTTAGCAGCCAAATGCCTTAACCACTGTACCACCAGAGCTCCTTTCTCATATATACTTGGATTTAATTTGAACCTTTGTTTTTCACTGACCTATTTATTCCTGTGTCAATGTCATACTGTTTTGTTTTTTTTTAATTGCAGTTTGGGTGAGAGTTTAATAGAGTAAATTAGTTTTCCACTGAACAAAGTATACACATTTTGTTGCGTAATAATGCTTGCAATCCCCTCAATGTAACAGCACTCTTTCCAATCTTTCTTTTTTCAAAAATTTGTTTCCATTATCACTTATTCTTCTACTTGGAAATTTTCTTTCCAGAAATAATGTCTCAAAGCATTAGGTTCTATGTTACTTTTAAAATGACTGACACATTTATATTAAATCTTATCATCCAGAAATCTTATATATCTATTTACTCATGTCTTATTTTATGACTTTCAACAAGATCATACAACAAGATTATAAGGTCCTGAAATCCTCGTGTTAAATTTATCACTGAGGTGTTCTTACAGTTTCGGCCAATCTTTTCCTAACTAGAAAGGTTGTGATTTTTTTGTAACTTCATCTTATACTTAACTATTTTAATAAATTCTCTTATTAATTCTAATAACTTATTGAGTCTTATATGCTTTTATATTTATATTTTTATCATAGGTAAATGTGCCATTGTTTTCTAGTATTTACATCTATTCTTTGATTTTATTTCATTAGCTACAAATTTCAAAATAATAGATTGGTAATAAATACTTGACAAAAAAGGGTTAATTCCCTTAGTATACAAAGAGCTCCTATAAAAACATAAAATTCAACAACAACAAAAAAAATAGGTAAAAGATATGAATAGGACATTCACAAATGGTCAATAAGCCTATGAAAACATGCTTAGTCTTAGGAGTAAACTGGCAAATGTGAGAAAAATAATGAGCTCCTATTTTCTACCTAATCTAATGGACTGGCAAAAAAAGAAAAACTATCACCATTTAAGACTGAGAATGCAGGAAAATGACCACTTTAATAAATTACTTGCAGGAATATGAATTAATCGCTATACTTGCTAATTAGGTTAATATATAAATATTCTTTAATCCAGCAGCTCCACTTTTAGGAAACTTATCCTGAAGCAACCAGACTAGCAGGTAAGAAAAAATGTATGTAAGAATGCTCATTACGACCTTGGATGAGCAAAGCACTACTGAAGAAGAAGAACAAAGTAGGAGGTCTCACAATGCCGGATCTCAAAACCGACTATACAGCCACAGTAGTCAAAACTCCCTGGTATTGGTACAATGACAGACACATAGACAAATGGAATGGAATTGAGAACCCAGAAATAGATCCATCGACCTATAGTCAGCTGATCTTTGACAAAGGCCCAAATTCCATTAAATGGGGAAGAGAATGTTTGTTTAATAAATGGTGCTGGCAAAACTGGAGATCCATTTGCAGAAAAATGAAACAAGATCTGTACCTC